TGGTGTCTGGCGATGTATTGAGTGACGATAGACACCCTGCAACCGTTGTTGCTCGTTTGTCGTTTCCTGTTGACGCTTTGCCTTTGTTCGGAGGGCGCGTGTGTTTTGTATGTCGTCGAAGCTGCTTCTCAACGGTAGAAGAGTAGTGCAGTCACAGAAGTGTTGGTAACACTTGTGTTAGCGGCAAGGCGTACGTGCGTGTCGTTGTCTTCAGTCCTGCCTGCGTTGTGAAGCTGCAGCTGACAGCACCGAGTCTGTGCCTTTGTGGTACCGTGTGTTTTAAGGAGGATAATGTGTCTGGCACGTATTGGGCGGACAAGTGTCGCACGCTGCAAGTAGGCATGCAGTGCGCGTGTTGTGGAGTGCTGCTGATGGCGATGCACCCGACAAGAAAAAAACAAAAAAACTGGCTTCGATATCGGAGTCCACGAAAAAAAACACCCGGTGGGTTCTTCCCACCACCCACTTGAAAAAGAAAATGCCATGATTCCGACACGGAACTGCCTTTTTATGGTCGCGTATCGTGCTGATCGACACCAGACCAACGGTGTCGCAATCGAGGCAGATCGAGCCGTCTGATAACTGCTCTCTGCTCTACCGTACACGATTGTGTGTGAAGTGATTGTACTTCAATTGACTGTTGGAAAAATTCAGATATATATATGAAGTCGCATGGATTGGCTCATCATCCTCTGTCTACGAGTAGAACGTGGTGTAAGATGTAATATGTATTTGCTCTCTCAGCACGATGCCACGTAGTACTCGGTCTACATCTGCGCGTCGTGTGTACGGTTGACGTGTTCGGATGTCCGAGTGAACATGAAAACTACTGCCGTATGCATATGTGGTGGAATTCGTGCGACACGTTGAAAGGTCATCAAAAATCGTTTGACCCGCCCCCACGCACACGACAAGACGAGTGAGTGCTCTATAATGTTTTGTGCTTTGGCTTCTGCCTCCCTGTAGCGATCGCCGACGACACTCAATACCAGGGACACAACTCTGGCGGACCTACCGGAAACATGCTCATGTCCACAACTCGCAGACCGTTGTCGAAATGAAGGGCTGTTGACCCAACTCCCGAGATGCTGACACACAAGTTTCGGGTTGTTACATGTAGCGTTGTTACCCCGCCCTCGCGGGTTGGTAGGCGGTTCAACCCCATCAGTTGACCCAGAAAGCTGCGGTACTACTATGTAGGTTGTTGACACACACCGCGTGCATTGCAATTCATGAACCTCTACCGCATCCAACAACACATGTACGTATATATCCCACTCGACAGGGCGCAGTCTGGCTCTTGCCACATCCTCTCCACAGTAGGTCAAGGGTGCCGCGCGAAAAATCTGCAATCAATCGAGATTCCTCTCTCAAGCACACCTACGCCGCAGATCACGATCGGTTCAGGATGCGGCTATCCACCAAGGCACATCAACAAACGACATTATGGCGCGCGGGCAAGGACTGTTCCCCAGTCGTCTTGAAAAACGCACAGTAGTACAAGTCCAACCTCTTGCAGCGAACAAAACGGGCGAGATATACTCTAGAGACTATGTGAAACACACAAGCTACAACGAACAAAGGTTACGCCTGTACAACAAACGATGAGTGAGAAACCAAGCAGCAAGAGTTAGAACGACCGGAACACACAGGGAAACATCTCACGGCAGGAGAGACAGAACACCCGAATCCATTCTGGACCTTGAGCTTGAGCTTCTCAGACCAATATCCATGTTTCATTCGACTCCCCGACCCCTTGCCCGACCCGGCCCGAAATGCTGATCTCGACCTACAATGCAAATCTCGCTAGTCTCGAGTATGGTTCGGTGGGGAATCGCAGATCATCACACCTCTCCGATTGTGAGGAGCTTCCGCCTCCTGTGGCCGACAAGTCGGCCTTGTCTGTGCCGCACCTTGAACGGGGCGGTTGAACAAACAAAGAGGGTCCGTCCGGTTGCAGTATTTTGTTTTTGCCACCTTGATTGTTTGTATCGCTCAGGCTGCTATTTTCATGCACCCCAGCGGGCATCTCGGAGGTATTCGGTCTCTCTGTCTGTTAATGTTGGACACCCGCACGCGTCACTCATTCCCTAACACGTGCACGGACGACAAAAATCAATCATCGGTGCTCTCGTTCGTCAGCATGTTTGTTCGGAATTTATCTACATCGCATAGACTATGTGCTGGCCTATTTTTGTGCGTCTTCCATGCGCGTGGTCTCTATCGATTTTTTGTGTGGTTGCTCTTAATTGATCAATGAGCAGTGAGTGTTTTCGGACAGCATGTGAAGCAGGGTTTCCGGACCGTATGTCAACTGCCGCGATCGCTGCCCCTGGTCTTGCTGCAGTACATGGTTGGTGCGCATTTACGCCGCTACGCAGGCCTACGTCGAACGTTGACAAGTTGACAAGTTGTGCAACTGCTCGTCCCTCTTTCGTTGACAAGTTGAGTATTACCGGTCCCTCCGTCCATGCTCATAATGTTGTCCGTGTGTGCCGTAACTGCCAGAGAGTCGCAAGACGCCAACTGAGGACGTTTTCCATGTCGCCACACAGAGTACAGTTAGTTGGGCCACCTCCACCACGGGGGAAGCGCGTACTACGTAGGCCTTCGCCCATAATTCTCCTTTGTCCTCTCTTGGTCCCTCTCATTTCCTGCTCTTGGCATACTTCCGTCGTACTTTTGTTTTCAAGGGTCCGCGAAGCATATGTATGTGTGTATGAAAAATATTCGATACACCCATGGGGACGCACATGAGCCATGCACCCACACCGTTTTGTACCGACAGAACCACCCAACCAAGAGCGACCTAGGCCCACACAACCGAGCTCGTAGCCACGTCAACACCAACCTATTTAGCACCTCTCCAAGCCATACCAACCTAGGTCGATCGCATAAACACCAACCGAGCACCTATCCATGCAAAACCAACCTAGAGATTATCCCATCAACACCAACCTAGCGTAAATGCCGGCACACCAACCTAGAACTGAGCCACCCAGCGCTAAGCTAGCCCTAATGCAGGCACAACAACCTAGAACTGAGGCGCCCGATGTCAACCTAGCGCCTATCGGGTCGGTTTGGGGTTAGGGTCAGGGCTAGCGTTAGGGATTTAGCCGGGTTCATGTAGTTGAGCTTGGAAGGACAGAAAACTGCGTCTGCCTGCCTGTGGTAGAGCGAAAGGTTGAACAAACAAGAAAACGCATATGCATACATGTTCGTGATGCTTGTTCCTCAGACAAGATTCCCGCCGGTGAAAAGGGTGTGGGTGCATGGCTTATATGCGTCCCTGTGGGTGCATTTAGTTTTTCGGGCGTCTGTATGTCTCCGGTTTGTTGCGATTGCCGCCCGCTGCCGAGTTTTTCGAGAGTACATGAGATGGGCTCGATGAAGT